CCGCTTACCGTTATTCGGCAAGTTCCTTATTCCTGGAGCTCCAATCCACAAGCGCCTCTCTCGGGTAGGGATCTCTTGCTCGCAGCACTTTGCCTACAATGCATCGATCATCGCCATTACGCCCACTCTATGGTAAGAAAAGGTGCATTTCAACGTGAATAGAACGCGAGATAACAGTATTTCAAGATTGGGGAGGCCCTGAGAATATCGCTGTTTCAAGGCTGGCACACCGAAATGCCGCCATTGGAGCTTGGTGATCGCTACGTAGAACGTTGTCGGCGGGCATGGTGGACGGTCTACATACTGGACCGTGAATTTACGTCCTTGATGGGTCTCCCGCTGACGATCCAAGACGACGACGTCAACTGCCCTCTGCCGAAGTTTGACGGCCAGATGCAGCGAATGGCGACGCTTGAGATGCAAGTCAAGCTGTGCCGCAACATCGCTGACATCAACAAAAGTAAGAGCACCAGTCGCATATTCGTGGCATCATTATTAAGCACCTGACTTAGGACTTTACGGGGGCGGAGGAAACTTGCATCGGAAATACCTTTCGAGGGCCAAAGAAATCCTCGGCAACATAGCTGATGTTGCAGAGGAGCTCAGAACAGCATTCCCTCTTCAGCCGAAGGAAACCATGAACGGGATCTCCAGGACAGCTTCTCACTTGCATTTGCTATATCACAGGGTAACGCACTGATTTGAGCCATGTGGAAGACAAGGTGTCCTGACCGATCGTTTAGTGCATCACGCTCGTGACGCGACCGCTTCTTTTCTACCTTCTCAAGACGCGCTTCGCTTCATTCAACGAGTACTTCAGCACTTTGGAGTCTCTACCAACAGTACGAAACCTCGTAAGAATGTGTATTGAGTCTTCTCAGACCATGGTCTCCATTCTCGAGTGTTTGATGAATCAGGGCCTGCTCGGTAAGTCATCGCTCAACTCGGCATCTCACGTGAATTCTGGGAGGCTCATTCACCAGGTGCATTCTTTCCCTATGACACTGAAGCCATTTTCGTATCTACTACAAACCTGCTCCTCGGCCCAGCTGTAGATCCGCAGTTTATCAATGGGGGTCGGATATGGCTGCAGAGGGCGTTTGTCGTTTTTGATGATATGATTAGTTGCGGAAACCAGGTGGCCAAGTTCCGCAAAGACGAGCTTCTGCAATTGCATGAGCTACTGGAACTTTTTGGGACTGTGGCCCCCCTTCACCGGCCGGAAACAACGGGGGCAGATGCCACAGTGCCAGCAACACAGAGCCACGACGACGACCCGAGTGAGCCTGATGTGCCTCGGGCAGACTTGGCACCAGGAGGCCCGGCTGGCGACGTGTATGAGCAACTCCAGGCTGATGATGGGCCATCGAGATCCCAGCTTGTGGATCCCATGCTAGGAGGTAGCTTTGGAGCTGGCTTCAGCAAGGAGCAGATAATGGGCGTGGCAGATTCTATTGATGACGAAGACATGGTTTGGATGTGTGAAACGATCATGGAGCATAGCAGTATTGGACCGCATTGAAAGAGGTATCGCGAACGGCAGACATCATATGAAAGCAGGGACATTTGACTCATCATCGGGGCGTCGGAGCGGTATCGCCTGCATTTACCGCTATGCTGAACATATTGTTAACAATTCACAGAGTCATGGATTCGAATGGGCGCCATTCGGGATTGATGCTACTGTAGACTTCTCAGAATCTATAATTGGAGAGAGGTGGTGAATCAGAAAACACACGGGCTACGTTGCGCCTCTTTAAACCCACTCTTCAAACCTACAATTTGGAGCTCTTAGGGTTCGTCAGGTCCTTCAACTCTTTGGTAGCTCCCAAGCGCCAGCTCACTGCACCGCCCCAGTCCTTGCCTCCAGTCGAAACCGGGGCCTTCCACCTGAACTTCGAGATAGGCTGCTTGCCATCGGTGGCGAGGAGCATATCCCTGACCCAGTTGCCAACAATGGGAAACATCTTGAACCCATGGCCAGAGTCACCCGACATGAGCAACACTGTTGAATCCGTGTTGGGTACATAGTCGATGATAAAGTCCGAGTCGTTGGTATCAGCAAACCAGCACAGAGACTGTTTGATAAGCGGCCTATCAGCAAGAGCCGGCAGCGTCTGCGCAAGCAGACGGCGAACCTGCCGTTGGTCATGCAGCGGCATGAAGCTGTCTCGCGTGGCGCTCAAGTGCATGCGAGACGCCGTCTCGGGTCGTGTTGACGTATCTCCACCATGGACAGAGCTTGAGCAGATTCGTCTTGAGGTCCGGTTCGAAAAAGAAGCCGAGATCCCGGGCGTAGGTCACGGGCACGCCGCGCAGGGCAGAGGCTCGTCGTCGGTCAGTTGAACGTGCGCACGGACCATGATTTGGCGACGACGTGCTGACCGCATTCTGGGACGAGGCGGGCCGGCAGCCGCGCCTGCGGCAACGATGACGAGCTTGGCGGGGAAGTCGCCTGTCTTCGTCCTGGCCCCGGTGCTCTTCCGCGGGGTAGTTGGGTTGGAGGGCTCGTTGTAGATGATTTCCGTCACGGCGCCGCGGTCGCCTGTGTAGAACTTTACGCCTCGCTCGCGGAGGAATCGATACACGCCTAGCAGCGCGTTGGCTGAGTGGGCGTAGCCGCCGAGACGGTTGAGATATCCCCGCCAACCTGTGAGCGGGCCGTCATTATACTGCCAGGTGTGCTGGCGGATATCTTCCGGTCCTTCGATGGGGACCACGTGCTTCTCGATCCACGGATCCCGCTTGGCCGAGTCGTGGAAGCGGGCTAGAGTCGCTGCGGCCCTTTCTGGCGCACTGCCTGAGACGCAGTGCAGGAAGCCGGTCTGGTGGAAGTGAGGTGCGAAAAGGGGAGTTTGCCAGGCGCGAATCGCTTCCTTGGAAAGGTTAGCTACGGGTTACGACAGTGCACATGATCTGATCCCTGCCAGGGAAGCGGGGTCAGGGCTCGATTCCGTACCAGTGTGAGCTTTGTGTAGAAAGGGTCCTCGTACTCGGCTCGAATTATCTTGTTCAGGTCGTTGGCGGCTGAGAACCTTGACGGAAGAGTGTCATCCTTTTCTAACACTGTAATGTTGATGAAGCGAGCCTCGAGAAGACGTAAGGCTGTTGAGAGACCGAAGGCACCCGCGCCGACGATTACGATGGGATCTGACTTGAGGAGGGGCATGATTTTGAGGGGGTTGAGGGGGGGGGGATAATTGTGATACGACTAGTGCTGCCCGAGACTACTACGTGGTGATCCTTACACCTTCCATTTGTAGGGATTGACTTGTACAATGGAACGGTTGATCAACCACAGCGATCCGATGTCCGTATCGGCGACGGGGTATCCCCGCTTGAGGGTCGGGGGAGCCGGCCGGGTGAGTCCACCCACAGATGCTGAGCTATCGAGAAGCTTGTCGGAGACGAACCCGAGTTAATTTATGGGTCTACGCGGAAGCCTTTCCGT